ATGAGGCCAGAACGATAGAAACAGAATGAGTAGGTGAGAAGAGTCATGGATGTCAGAGAGGTGATAGGGGCCCAAATTGTGAAAGGACTTTTTGTCCATCATGAAGATATTTAATTTGACTCCGAGCAAGATGCAAAGGCACTAAAGGGTCTACATACGGAACTGTGATCTGACGCAGGCTTCAAAAAAATCACTCTACCTACTGTGTTCAGTATTGTCTGAAGGGGCCATGGCCTGAAATAGCCAGGCTCTTAAAACAAACCAGATGAGAGTTGATCATGGCTTAGACCAGGTTTGTAGGGGTGGAGATGGCAAGAAGCAGAGAGAGTGGATATTTTACTGAGAGTGGACCAATAGGATTTGCTGATGAATTGGATATAGGGTTTGAGAGAAATATACCAAGGACTATCCCAAACAACCAGAAAGCTGAAATAGTCATTCACAAACGTCACAAAGGCCATGAAAGGAGCAGATATATGGGAGAATGATCAGGAGTTCAGTTTTGTACCTGTAAAGTTGAGGTGGCAATTTGATATCCAAATCAAATAAGCTTTATATCTGAGTCTAGACTTTAGGAATGTAGTGATTACTATAGATGTACTTGAGAGTTATCAGCAAAAACTACAGAATTGGACAAGATCACCAAGGAAATGAATTTAGATAGAGAAGAGGTTAAAGGACTGAGTTCTTGTGTACTTCAGTGTTTAGATGTCAAGGAGATGAGAAGGAGGCCTCAAAGGGACTTAGAGCAGGTAATGAGATAGGAAGAAGACTAGGAGAGTGTGGTATCTTGGAAGACAAGTGAACAAAGTATTTAAGTAAGGAGAAAAGTGATCCACTGTATCAAATGCTGGTCATGGCGTAGGTCAAGTAAGGTGAGGACCAAGAATGGACTTTTGAGTTTAACAATGTGATCGTTGGTGCGTGACCTTTTCAAGCTCTGTCTCAGTGGAGTGTTGGGAGTGATTAAAGTGGATTTAAGGAAGAATTGAGTAGAAGAAATGGAGAAAGTGAATATATGCCATCTTTCAAAGAGTTTTGCTTTGAAGGAGATTAGAGAAATAGGGTACTAGCTGGAAGGGGATGTGAGTCAAGAGAGAGTGTTGTTTTTTTTTTTTTTTTACACCAGGACATGTTTATGTGCTGCAAGGAGTAAGCTAAGAAAGAGGCAAAATGAGAGAGAGAGAGAGTTGCTGGAAAGAGGTCCTTAGTAAGCAAGAGCACATAGGTTCAGTGCACAAGCAGAGGGGTTGGTCTTACACTGGGTTATCAATTTGTTCAAAATACAGCAAGGCAGGCAGAGAATTAGGAGCACAGACAGAGGTAGTGGATAAAAGTGAGGGTGGGAGCTTGTGAAAAGTTTCTTCAGGCCTTGGCCAGGGGGCTCAGTTGGTTGGAGCATCACCGCGTACACCAAAAAAAAAAGGTTGTGGGTTCATTCCCCAGTCAGGGCCTGTGCAGGGGTTTGGGGGTGGGCAACTGATCGATGTTCCTCTCTCTCTCTCTCTCCATCCTCCCCCCCTCAAAAATCAATAACATATCCTTGGGTGAGGTTTTAAAAAAGTTTCTCTTGAGTACTTCTAATTTATGCATGAAATGAAAAGCTGAGCCATTAACTGAGAGTGAGGATTGGGAAGGGGGAGTTGAGAAGGTATGAAACAATTATCTGGCAGAGGAGAAGGAGGAGTGGTCAAGGAAAGAGGGCAATATGGTGGCTGAAGAGCCGCAGAGGTCAATTTCAAGTTTATGCTCTTAACCTTAGAGACTAGCAAGCATGGCATTATGCTTTCTGCAGCCAAGTTCTGCTGTGTGGGAGTCATCAGAGAGCAGGCGGAGACTTAGAGTTTTGCTACCTAAGAGTGTGGAGAGTATCTACGAGAGAGTGATTAACTCAGAGTTTATACGGGGTAAAGAGTAACTGGGGATGTGGGAAGGAGAGAGACAGTGAAGGTGATTGAAGGATTAAGGAATTGTAGTTCCTTGGTGTGGGGGGTGGGGAGTGGGAGAATTGTTGAACAGGGGATTAGAGGATAAAAATTAGACAGATGCAGCGGTCAGAGTGAGGTGTTTAAAACTGAGGTTAAGGAGAGGATGCAGTTGGAAGTGACTAGGTCAGCTGCATGACAAGGGAGTGAACGATTGGTATGGGGAGAGGGCCAGACCTTCACAGTGGAGAGGAGGAGGTCAAGAGACTGAGATTGAAAGGTGTCATAATCATCATCTATGTGGACAGCGAGTCATCAGTAGTTAGGCAGGGGTGACGCGGGAGAGAGCGCCACAGTTAGCCAGGAGCCGGTGTCTTTGAGGAGCGAGGGGGCTTGGCCAGGCAGGGAGTAGGTAGGTCAGTGGGTGACATAGTCCAGTATCATTCAACCACCCTGGCTTTTGACTATTATGTGTGCCTCACGGCAGAAAATAAGGTGCACAGGTGTTTTGGTTGTCTGTTGGTTTGTTTTTAGTGTCCCGTTGCCAACTGAATGTCCAAATACTGTGTTTAAAAGAATTTGATTCTGATTCAGACCATTAAGTATTTTTCTGGTAGTGTGAGCTTGCCTTTCTTGCCCCAACCTTGATATCCAGGAGAGAATCTGTGGCCCGGAATGGTTCAGCTCCTGGCTGTGGTATGTGTGCGGCCTTGGACAAACACCCTAAACTCTCTGTACTTTGTCTGTAAAAGAAGAGAAATACCATTTCTCTTTCAGGCTTATTGTGAAGATTGAAGAAGATAGTGTGAATGCAACCAAACCAAGCATTGTCCCCAGCACATCATAGCTCAATTCAAATTTTGTTTAACAGAGCTAAAGTATAGATATTTTGAGTTAAAATTACTGCAAAAATGACCATCTATTCTTTGTGGTAAAAAAAAAGTCCTGTGTGAAATGAAGTATACTGTTCGATAGCTTCTGTATCAAACATAGAGTTTGTATCATAGATTAGCTCACCAAATTGAGAAACCTGTAAAACGGGTTACTACCACAGCAAAAGGTTTTACTCTACACTCATTATGTGATTTTTTATTGCAATTATCCAAATTCAGTAAAATGTTTAATGAGGCATTCGCTGCCTTGGGCAGGTTAGCATGAGATTTAATTTGCGTTAATTTACCCAAAATTTAGGAAGTGGAAGTACACTGTGTTTAGAATTTGGTTCTGCGAGAGGGAGACCATTATTTTATAAGATGTTTTTTACACATAGACTTAGATCCCTCTCTCATCTTTTCCTTTCGGGCAGCCAGAAAGTCACCAGGAGCCTCACAGAATATGGACCAATACCAGGTGCTTAGTGTCAATGGGGTAACAGCTGTTCGGTAGGACTCAGGAATTTGTATGAGATAGAGCGCACGGTGTATCTGTACATTGGATATCTATGAAGCAAAGACTGATGGAATTCAAATCAGGGGCCCCAGATTCATATTCTGACTCTTTTGATTGCTGAATCCAGGGCCATAAGGCCTCATTTTCTTCACCTGAAAAGTGGGCATAATCATACCTCACAGGTTTGCCGTGTTGAGGGAGATAATATGTATGAAAACATTTTACATATTATGTTAGGCAAAGGTAGGTATTCATTATTGTGCCTTCTAGAGATTGAAAGACTGTGTTAGAGATCACCCCACAGCTATCTCACAGGGCAGTTCCAGGCTGTCTTCATCATTCCTCCTTCTGCCAGGATGGAGAGTATGCAGGCCTTTTTGAGAAAATTATGCTTCTCCAGGACATGTTGAAGAATAGCTGGTAACCACACTAATTCTTCATTGATTCAGGATATTTTCCTTTTAGACTGAGGTAGATAGAAAGCTTCACTGATAATGTATTGGGTCAATAAGAATCGTTTAAGTGATGGACTGACCTAAAGCCATCAGTATTAGAAGGTGAAAGGACCTTCCAAGCCTCCCCTGACCTCAGCCTTTATAAATATATGGAAACTGAGGCTCAGAAAGAATAGTTACAATGACATTTTGGAATAAACTTAAATTAGAATTATTTTCCATAAAGACTGAGAAAACTTGGTGACTATCGCATCCATGAGAATATTGTTTCAGCCATCGTTTTTGAGCAAGGTAGTAGGTTGTTAATTCTTTTGACCAGTTATAATTACTCAAGGGATGTCAAGTGTCAGGTAGCCATGTCTCCCTGCAGAGGGAGAGGCTGGTCTTCATAAAGGGTCTGGCGAGTGTAACTGAGCCAGAGCAACACTGTGACGGAGTGATCTGCTGTGAGCTGGCCTTGGCCACCGCGAGGATGGAGGACCAGACGATCAATGTGTGTTACTTCGCTGAGAGGCAGAGCTCTTGCGCTCTGCACTTGCGACTCCTCCAAGTCCTGGTGTCTCATATTTAATGAGACCCAACTCCAGCACAGAGCCTCAGAATAATGACATCCAAGATGATCCTTCCTTAATTAGGAAAGTAGAAGCTCCCCGAAGGAGCTGCTTCCCTGCAAGTTCTGCCATGGAAGTAAATGGACACTTCATGGGTACAGAATATATGCTTTGTTATACCTGACTCTTTGGGACCTACCAGATCCTTTCTCATCTTGACCTTTCCTCAGCACAGTTCTCAAACCAAGGTATAGACACGCCCTGCTTAATAGTCTCGTTACGATATGTCTCGCATTACCATTCTATTTTTTTTTAATGTTCTGGGAGAATCTTTAAAAATTATCTCACATGTAACGTTATGGAATTAACTACAACATCTGTTTCAAATGCCAAGTGTTATGCAAGCCTTGCCAAATTTGCAATGTTGTAAGAACCCTGCTTTTAAGTTGCAAAACCATCAATAAACTGCTCCATTATATATTGCTTACCCCCAACCACAGCGTCAGGGAGATTCGCAGGACTCCTCCAGGGAACACCTTTGTCACATCTTGTCATTTGCTTAGAATGTCAAACAGGGCCCCCCAATTTGGAATGTGGGGTGTATGAATCTCAATGCCACCCCGAATATTTGTATATAGATATTTCCTCCTGTTTTATTTTACTGTTTTGAATCTATACAGGCAACAGCCTCAGATTCCAATCACCACAGGAACAGGTGTTGTGTATCCTGGTGCTATTACTATGGCAACTACCACACCATCACCTCAGATGACATCTGACTGCTCTAGCACCTCTGCCAGCCCAGAGCCCAGCCTCCCGGTCATCCAGAGCACTTATGGTATGAAGACAGATGGCGGAAGCCTCGCTGGAAATGAAATGATTAATGGAGAGGATGAAATGGAAATGTATGACGACTATGAAGATGATCCCAAATCAGACTATAGCAGTGAAAATGAAGCCCCGGAAGCTGTCAGTGCCAACTGAGGAGTGTTTGTTTGCTGAATTAAAATACTCTGACATTTCGCCTCCCCTTCCCCAACAAAAAGTTCTTAATAAGAGCCCGCATGCATTTGTGGCTCCACAATTACATCAGCAGAATGGTCTTAATTGTTTTGTAAAGTGTGAGACAGATTAAGTTTTCCCTGATTTTTCATGAACTTGAGTTTTTTGTCGTTATTGTTATTGTTGTTGTTGTTTTTTTAATTTAGGTGAAGACATATTAAATATGAGACACCAGGACTTGAAAACTTATCTCAACCCATAGCTGTCTTACAAGTCTTATATTTTTGTCTTACTTTTTTTTTTCTTTTGGATGTTGATAAAGGTTTAAGTTACTGTTTTAGATGGGGTTAAACATTCTCACTCAGGTATGCTGTGCCGGCCTACAGGTTGTGAATGTGTTTTTATTCTGAATTACTTTAGAAAACAACTGAGGATTAATGTTGTGAAACAGAACAAGTCCACGGCGTGTGCAGCTGCATGTAGAGCAGATTTGAAAGGCCTCGGAATTCCGTGTTTCCATGTGTAGAGTTCAACTTTGAATGTGCCAAACGTTTTCATCACTTTTGAATCTTAATATTTTGAAAGTCTTAAAGGAGACACTGCAAAGTCTTAGACAATCTTTGGCATCTTAAAATAAAATAGCAAAGCATACATTTTTTTTTTCCAGAAAATGGTAAAGTACTCAGGAATCTGGAGACAAGATATTGTAAGGAATGAACAAGGTTGCCACAGTGCATGTACCCAATCGTGTTTGCCTCTTGATGTGCCATCAGGGTGTGACGTGGTACGACGTTCGCACACCGGAGCGATCAGCACACCAGACACCGACAAGGCGGCCTTCTCTGCCTGAGACCGCCTCTCACTACATCCATTACCCCTTTGCCTTTAACCCTGACATTCAGTCTTAACACATTTTCTCTTAAATAATTTATTCATTCCAGAATGTCAAGGGTCCACTTACTATTTATTTTTGAAAAATTGTTGGTGGCATTAATTTAATAATTTTTGTTTTTCACCGTCCTTCCCCGAAGAACCTTTCAGCCCTTTTCACCTCCTTCTCCTGCTAGATAAAAAAGATGTACATAGTGATTTTATGTCCCCAGAGCATCTGGAAGCATTTCTGAAACAAGGTACTATTAAATACCTATATTGTTGTTTTTGTACATGAGTGTATCTGGCTGCAGGGCTGTGCGTTTGGATTCAGGTGCAGAGTCTTACTCTTCAACAGCCATGCCCCTGAGATTTGCTGAGACCTTGAGTCTCTGGCCAGAATTTCCCCCTGTGCCAGCCCAGCAGCGAGTGGTAGGGTCTGGCTCGGCGGCATTCCCCCTGAATGCCACTCAGCAGCAAGGATCCGTGGTGGCGACTTCCCGGCAGGAGGGCCCCGCAGCCAAACCTAAAGCCCAAGGCTGTGGACCACAGAGGAAGCTACAGCGATGCTGTCATTGGCTGGCACCTTTACACTGAGCTGCCTTGTCCCATCTGGCACATCTAGGGAGTTCTTTGCAAAATCCCCAGGATGCGAGAAGCCGCATGACAGCCTCAAAGAAAAGATAGAGGCAGACAGTCATGGTGCATCCAGAGAATGAGAGAAAACCATAGGGCAGGAGAAGGAGGGGAAGTGCACTCCCTGGAGGGGATGTTCCTACTATTAACTCTGGGGAGCAGCTCACCCCCGGGGCAGCAGGCGAGTCCCTCTGGTGCATGCCCCTATCGGTGGCCATATGGGGGGTGGGCCTCCCTGTGGACAAGGTCAACTGCGCCTGTCACACAGGGATTTTCTAGAGACGTGCTGATGGGCTGGGAAGCAGTGAGGTTTTGTTCCCCGACTCCTGACCCCAGGGAGCTCGGCCATGCCGTCGTGACCTTCCTGAAACCAGACTGATTGCCGATGGGTGGGGGAGGGGCCTCACCCAGAGGGGTTCAGGGGAGGGTGTCTGCAAATGGGACAGTTCCCCTCATAGGACAACCCGGAATCTCATCACCAGGACATAGGAATGGCCCCATCGTATTTCTTGAGCCATTTTGTCACTTGGAAGAAAATAGTATACCTTCATATTTATTTAAAGAGTGCTCAAGGCCATATCTAATAGCAATAAATAGGTCTAGGCAAGATATTACTGGCTAAGTCATTAGCTGGGAGTGCGCTCTATAAGCTGACTAAGGTACTGATAGGAATGTTTTGTTCTTAATATTGGTTGGGGATTGGAACTTTGTTTTTGTACATTTATTTGAAATGAGGAGGAGGTCATTTTTCTCAAAAAATGAGTATTTATTATTATTGTCTTACTGATTTCTTTTGAACACGTACCTCTCCTCCGCAGTTCATTCTCATGTTTTTTTCTCATCCTCTTCGACTTTTGCGTTTACCCTGCCCCACTCCTTTTTTATTTCGTTGCATAGGTAGAGTGCTGTATGGCTAGCATTGTATTGTATGTAATTAATTTTGCACAAAGGCAAACATTTAGAATAGCAGGTTAATTTTGTTTGTTTTATGACCATGCCAAAATAATATTCTGGGCTGGTGGAGAACAAAGGACTGTTCTTTAGGACTGAAACTTGATTTCACTTGTAGTAAAAACAAAACAAAACAAAACAAAACAAAAAAATCAACAAAAAACACACACACTCACAGATGTTGTTTCGTAAGTGTTATAAGCACTGGATATAAATGGTATTTTTTATCACTTCTGACTAATGTGAAACTGTTGTACGAAAACTACATGAACAAAAGTCATCTGTTTCGACTCGTGTGGGCTTGCCTCACAGTTGCCGGATTTGAGTCATTTTTATGTCTTGTTATTTCATTTATTTATGCAAAATACATGTGTGTATGAACACTTTGTTTTAGCTCCAGCTCTGCCTCAGTACTGGGGCTCAGTTACTTCTAGCCATGTTCTCAAAAATGAAAGGCTATTCAGGAATGATCTGATTGTAAACGTCCCTTTCACTGGGTCAAACAGTGATGCTGTATTTGAATCTAAATTCTGCGCATAAGCAGTTTATTCTATTTATTAGCCAAGTGTGGCTCTAAATATCTTTGGAAATTAAGAATGACAATCATAGGGATCACTTCATTTTATTTGCAGCGGGGCTTAAACAAAGTTTTTACGACTTTACCATCTCATTTTAGATTTTTCTAATTGTGTAAATGTAACATAGAAATAGAATTTATTTTTGGTTCATGAATGCTTAGTGAGATATAAGTTATGTATTTCCTTTTTGTTCTCTATCCATATGTGTCAGTCCAGACTAGAAGTTGACGTGTCACTGTACCTCACGGGGATGGTGACTTAGCGGCCACGGGAGAGAGCAGCGCTCTGCCTGGAGCTGGGGCAGCGACGCCTCCCCTCCAGTTCTCGTGCAGTCAGAACCCACTGTCCACAGACTCAGACTTGGACGTTTCTTCTCATAGAAAGTCAATGAATTGAACACACCACATTTTCAGTACAGCTGGGAGAGAGTCAATTTGCTTTGTGAATCCACATAAATTGTATAAGGTCGTTTGGTGACCATTTAATAGCAAGAAGCATGAATGTTGTTGTGAAAGCAAAAACCTGCCTCTGAGATTGACTATTAACAAAAGTCCCACCATGCCAATTAGATTAAAGACTATTAATGAACTTTTTTTCAGTGCTTTTTTTATTTCATAGTATCTTTAAGTCAAAGATAAAAATCATCTCCATTTTGGTAAAGAGCTTGCAGGATTAGGATTTTTTCCATTAGAACAGACACTGGCAGACAATCCTATCCTAAAAATGGACCACAAGGAATAGGAAGAAAGGAATGAAAGAAGGAAAGAAAGAAAAGAAAAGAAAAAGAAGGAAAAGTCAATCTGTGGACAGAATAGCCAGGCAGACAATTTCTCTATTTCCCTGGCAGATATGATGCAGCGTCTCTTGCAGGAAGGTACGAGAGCTTTGTTGTTTTCATATGTATCCAGCTCAACCTGTTAGGAGCACATCAGTTTGCTTCACTTGGTATTTGATACTCCCCAGCCTTGTCCTCAGGCCCGATTTGATTTGCCAGGGTCCTGACACGGACTCCCAGGCCAAGTTCTAAATTCAGGTGTGGGCTCACAGTGCTATTGAGCTTGTCAAATTCTGGCCTCCCCTGAACATTAGCCCCACTGGGGCCTGGGTGTTTGAAAAGGGTGTGATCACTCTAGGGCTGAAATTAAAGGCTTCTTTCTTTTCCTTATGAAGCCAGGCTGCTTCTTCGGAGCACACCCTCCCGAGCCGGGAGCACAGGCACTAGCTGAAAGCAGGAGTTGTTTCGAGGAAGTCCACCTACCCTCTGTAGGAAGGCAGCCTGGTCACTTGAACACCACAGCTGAGGCTGCTCATCTCAGTTTACTAATTTTGCGCAGAGGTGACCTCTACCTACTCATTAGGGAAAGGAAAAAGAATCACTTAGTAGTTTTAAATCATATGAGAAGTCCTGTACCAAGTGCCAACAACTGCAAACAGTGCAGCTAGAGGAATGTATTGGAATTATTACTGGGTCTTCCTTTGTTATGAGAAAATGACAAAATGGTTGCTGTAACCTTGCCTGATTTTGTACATGTTTGTCTAAGGACTGAGTTGGCACTTAAACTCACTTCTCAAAGTATAATAATATTGTATGACCTCATTTGTCCTTTTACAAAAGCACTTGCATCGTTTCCTTAAGTCATCTGCCCCCTGACGTGTTTTCTTCCTTAATAAACAACTTCTCTCTCTTATTCCTGCCGATTATGTTCTGTTTCCGCTGCCCTATACTATAGAGCATAACCCTCTGCTGATATCATTGAAAATATTGATATGCAAACACACATTTCCTTTTTACCCCCATCCCATCTTTTCCTTTGGGGACAGATTGCCTTCCCAAAGCTCCTGAACAAGTATTCAAAATGCTGGTACCTTGTGGGTGGGGCTAGAGATGGGTGGGGGAGGGGCAGACAGGTAGCAGCACAGATACTCTTCTAACTGGTGTCCGTGGCACTATGAACGCTTGAAGGCAACTCAGTGACATATCTTGCTCAGTAGTTTCTTATTCCTGAAAAACCACAAACATAAAGTGAGGTCTCAGTGCTGGTGCTCTTGGAGTATGGGGAATGTGCAAATATTTAACTGTTTTGTATGCTGCACATTGCAGATCTGCTCATGTGCATTCTCCGTGTGTCTTCCTTTGTCATATGTGTTTTTGCTTTTTTTGAAAGTGCAGTCTTTATTGTACCCTTCTCCAGCTTGTAGCAAGTTAGAATGCTTAGCATTTATGTTCATGCATTATTGTATTTGCCATGTAAAATTTTTATTACCTTAGACAAGCTTATAAGCTGTTACTACATAACTTATCTTACTGTAACTCTTTTATTTCCCAACATTGTAATTTGTGATGTATATTGTGAGATTGTATTCTATGTTAATTTAATCAGCACAATTCACTGACATGCTGGACTGACATGCTGGCTGCTGTTTCAAAGTGTAAAGTTTGTGTAGGGCTGTTGGGACAACTGCAACTCGGTTGTCAAGGTACTGTGCTTTGGTTCCTCTAGCAACACTGCGGGTGTGGCCCCGAGACGCTGAGGGCATTGAACACACCCAGGAGCAAATCTTAACTGCAGATTTCCTTTGTAGAAATTCTATGTATAATGCAGGTACCTACTTAGCCCATGGCTGGTAACTATTTGGGCAATTAGAAAAAACAAAAACCATAAAAACTAGTGTCTATTGCTGCTTTGAATATGTTTGAAAGTCTGAAAATGTAAATAGTTTATCAAAAAAAAAAAATCTTGTACAGTCCAGTGTAAAGTTTTTAAATGACCTTAAGGGTTGCCATCACATCTTTCTCACACTCTCCTCTTGATAATGGGGGGAAAAAAAAAGTTTGCTAAGGATTAAAGAAGTGGGGAAAACAATCTCTTCAAATTTAAGGGAATGAATCATTGTTCTTAGCTTTGTTGCATACGCAAACTTCTTGGATTTTGTTGTGCAGTATTGACGTGAGACAAAACTCAGCATTGAATAATCTTTCAGTGGTACATTTACAGTCTCCTCCACCCCTTCCCCGCCACCCCCCCGCCTCATAATGAAGGGAAAAGACAAGATTGAAAGACACACTGTCTTTATCTCTCTTGGTGTATGTGGGCACCTTAGCTACTTTTTTTTCCCTTTTTGCACAAGGTGCTTTCCTGCTATGTCAGACATGCCATCTTTGGGTGATAATGTATATGCCATGATGCGGCTGAGGCCCCTCAGGGGAGTGTCTGTAAGAACTGCCTATTTATGCTCATTTACCTCAAGACTGTCCTCTCTACCCTTAATCTAGTTGTCATCACTCCATCTTTTGTACTGCTGTTGACACTTACAAATTAAAGATAAATTTTGTTTTATGACCTCTGTGTATGGCCTCATCTGTGCCCTGTGGACTGTTCCCACCTTGGAGCCCAGCAGGCCGGAGGCTCGGCTGAATGCCGCTGGGGTGGGCAGAGCTCCCACTGCTCCCTGCCCCTGCCCCTGCCCCCTCCGCCCCTGCTGCTGCCGCTGCTGCCAGGCTGGGAGGCAGGTCTCGGTGGGGAAGCCTCCAACTCCTTAGGCTGGGGAGACTTGCCTGCTTTTTTCACTGTGGAACACATGCTGCTGCAGCAGGAAATGCTTATGGATTTAGACGGTAGGAACAGGAGCCAAGGTGGATTTTTGTCGAGAGAAGATGAGAAACGATGTCACTTCCTATTTGCCTGACTCCTTCATGAGAGTGAAACAGTTGACAAAAGCTCGGAGCATCCCGGGGTGAATGAATCTCAAGGGCCCGCCTCTCATCTGACACCAACTTCGACAAGCCAAGAGTAGGAAATGCCACGCTTCTGGAACCTTTGCCTCCACTGTGGTTGGGCGTGGCTGGCTGATTTCTCAGTTGCTTCTGCCTCAGAGAAGGAGAGCTCCCATCTTGCTGTCCAGTCAGGAGATGGTCTGGGAGCAGAATGATACCAGCTTTTAAGGGTCTGAGAGATGCAGGTGGGGTAGTGGGCTGAAGGAAGCCGGGCCTGCGAAGGAGACTTTCCAGCCCAGCCCAGAGGTCGCTGACCCACCCCTGGAGAGGGAAACAAAGGGTGAGGGGGATGGGGACCCAGCCACATCTTTTTTGCTATTCTTTATGAAAAATGCCTCAGTAGAGAAAAGCCAAGGATTTGTGGAACTTTATCACGGTCAAATTGTAGGTTTGAGGCAAGCCGCCCCTACAGCCCAGAAGGCTAGCTTTTCATGATCCTCCCTGTGCTCCGTGGGCTTTTAAAAGCCCAGGTAAGTACAGGGCATTGCTTTGGAGTCACGGCACGCCAGCTCTGCCACTTGTCAGCTTTGTGACCTTCCCCAGGTAACTCCTCTGAGCGTTTGTTCCTCTCTGTACAATGGGGTCATGATCCCTACCCCTCAGGGTTACTCGGGGGAATTCTGCGAAATGGCGTGTGTGACATGTAGCAGCAGGCCTGAACATGCGGCGTAGGTATGAAGCTGCCACCTCTGATCTGAGAATGCCTGAGCTGTGGGGGAGCGTCTCTGGCTGAGCAGAGGGAGGGACTTGCCTGAGGCCTTAGTCCAGAATCTGGTCGCATAAGTGATTCCCCCAACCTTCCTCCAAGCTGGGCTCCGGGCCACCAGTTTTCTCATTTCTAGTTTATTCCCATCACTGCCTTTGGTCCTCTTTGTCAAACACAAATCTGAGCAGTCCCCTCTCTCTCTTTTCCTCTCCTAAAATCTTCGGGCTTTCCATAGCTGACTAGATACAATCCAAACTTCCTACCAGCCTCCACTGTGCCCTTCACGTGCCCTCAGCAGCCCAGTGCTTCTCTCAGCCTCGCGGCCTGTCCTCTTACTTCTCTTGTTGACATTAAACCTGCCCCTTTCTCTATTTGAGAAATTCCCATGCTTTCAAATTCCACCCAGACATCACCATCTGGTCAGCGATAGCTTCCCCGGCTTCTCAGCTAGTTTCAAGCTGTCTTTCGGGGGTCCCAAGGCACTTAAAAAGGACCTCCATGATCACATTTACTCCACGGCAATAATTGGTTTCTGTGTCTGTCTTTTCTGCTAGGTGAGCTACTGAACCAAGGACTGTGCCTTGGCCCTCCCAGCTCCCAGCACAGTGCTTGGTGTATTGTGAGTATTTGGCACTTATTTCTGGAATGAATGTGGCACTTGGCCTCCGTATGTGATATAGCTTGTATCAGAGTCTTTAATGACTGAGGAAGAGGGAGTCTGTAGGGGTATCTTAGTACTACTTACTTCATTTGGAGAACATTATTAGTTGAAACATCTCTGTTCATTTTGGGGGAGCCATTTCAAGTCCATGTGATGGCTTGTCCTGATCAGGCATGAGGGCATTAAAAGTCACCAAAAGTCACCAGACATAAGAAGATGACGCCCCAAGTCTTGGCTCATTCCCACCACTACCAGAGCTGGTTACCACGGTCCAGGGATCCCTGAAGAGGCCAGCTCTGGGCAGGAAGCTCCCTGACGCACCAGGGTATGGTGGCTCTATGTGAGGTGGCACCCAACACGAATAGTGAAGTGAGCAGCAAGTATTACAAACAAGACCTTGTTACACAGTTTTGTTTTGTTTTTTTCCTCTCAGAAGCATTCCAATTATTTCTGGAAATGTTTAAACCAGTCAAATTCCATATATCTATGGGGGGGGAGGGAGAGAGAGAGAGAGAGAGAGAGAGAATATGAGTGAGTCACCCACAGTATTTGCAGTAAAATTTGACTTACATTCTTGGCTTTAGAAGCCTATCAAAGAAGCTAATGTCTCTAATCAGCAAAATACCAGTCTATTCCCCTTTGGTAATATTCTATCTGTATTGATATTTCTGTCAACATTACTATCATCAATAAAACAAAGGAAGTTTTTAAATGGCAATAATCTCTA